ACAGGCAACTCTCCCAAGCGCAAGTGGTACAACACGGGCCATCAACGCATCCAGACATGCACAAATTGTCACGGAGCCAGAGCACCAGAGTACTCAAACAACCACAATGGAAGTGAGCTTTGCATTATTGCTAATGGACACCCAATTAACTCCACGTGCACAGAGTGCTCTACAACACCGAAGTGAATATATATATACTAGACGTTGGCGCAGTTGGTTAGCGCACTTAATTATCTAGAAACTAAGAGGTTGTGGGTTCGATCCCCGCTCGGGGACTCGTCTGACCGTGTAGCTCAGTTGGTAGAGCGTCGATCTAGTAACTCGAAGCAGTCGAAGGTCGCGGTTTCGAAACCCAGGGGCGTAGGAAGCTTAGAAAAGTTGGGGGGGGCATCTCAAAATTTTTTTGGCGACCGGCCTCCCCCCAAATATAAAAAAATTTTCCGGACAAACCAATATATGATATTTTTCTCGGAAACTAAAACATTTTTCGGGAAAAAACAGATTGAAGTTTTCAAAAGTTTCGTTTGGACAAAAAATGCAAATTTTATGAAAATTTTTCAGGCACAAAAAGGGCACTTTGCTCCTGGAAAAAGGGCACTTGCCAAAACTTGGGGGGGGGGCCATGCCCCCGGTTCCTACGCCCCTGCAGCTGCGGCAGGCAACGTTTCGGCTGCTTGCGCGCTGTCTGGAAATTATGATATATTTCACTCGAGAACATTTCATCCTTACTTTATAGCCAGTATATACAAAAACAGAAAAAAGGAAGGCGTATATTATTTCACATGCATTATTACTACTATATTAATTCCAGTCTAAAAGTCTAAAACTACACGTTACCATGCACGCGTTACCATACGGGTACCATGCATGAATGATATGACTTTTCTTATATATATATATATATATATATATATATGTGTGTGTTAAGTTGTGTAATTGTACACTCCGTAATATGTTAGGATGAAAATTTCTAGTGTGTGTATTATATAATTTCCATACCCAGCGCAAGCAGAAAGATGTTGTCTGCCGCGCGGCATGGGTCTTGAACCCGCGACCTTCGAGTTAAATATATGACCTTTCAATTAAATATATGCATGACCGTCTGACCGTGTAGCTCAGTTGGTAGAGCGTCGATCTAGTAATTCGAAGGTCGCGGGTTCAAGACCCAGCCGCGGCAGACAACATCTTTCTGCTTGCGCTGGGTATGGAAATTATATAATACACACTCTAGAACATTTTCATCTTAACATATTAACATATTACAGAGTGTACAATAACACAATTAATATATATATACATATATATATATATATATATATATATATATATATATATATATATATATATATATATATATATATATATATATATATATATATATATATATATATATATATATATATATATATATATATATACTTTGTTTTAGTTTTATTTTCTAGTTTATACAGGTAGCTACCTTTTTAAAGCCTCTTCGTTATTTCACAAAACCAGTAATTATAATCCAATAATTATAGGCGTGTTTTTGTATTTACTTTATTTTATACTTTAATTTATAAACTTTTGTGAAAATGCATGTTCTATATATATGCGTGAAAATGTCAAATTAATTTAAGGAATTTAAAAATATCTGGAATATACTACTTTCATCTATATAAGCAGTAAAGCAGATGTTTTCGTTCAATTCATGAATTATTCCTGTATTATATTTTTAAGACTGTATGTACAGTAGATTCTGTTTTTAATTGCATCGTACGTCAATGTCAATACAAGCATGAAGTATATACACTTCCGTCCACCTACGACGATGTTTGACTTGAATGCATTAGTATTAATTATTTATGATGCTTTTAATTGTTATTGAAATTTGTTTAGTTTTCTTCATTATACAATATATAAACGTACATTTTAACACAATTGGACTCTCCGTTTTGCCTATATATAGTTAATTTATTAAAAAAATAAAAATAATAAAACCAGTAATTATCTCTAATCTTTTGTAAAAAGAACCCCTTTCCTGGGGAATTGAGCAAAATGACTGCATGCATGACATCATGATAGTGTAACAAAATACGCGGCCTTGCGGGGTCAATATATTCATGCAATTTACGGATTATCCTGACCTGACATGAGTGTATTCAGTCCCATGTTCTTTCATGTCTCGTACCTCTCTTGATTGCCTTAAACACTGCATGCATGCATACATGCATGCATGCTGTCAATTCCAATAGAATTTTTGTCAATACAAGCACTCGTCATCCATGCACCTGCGACGTGGTTCAATTATATATACGTACATGCAGTGTCAGTATAGGGCATATTTGATGAGACTTTTATCGCGAAATTAAGTACTATTGTCTATTATGATGCGTTTACTGTTATTGAAAATTTGTTTCATCGCATTTAGCCAATGTAAGTCACAATCATCCTTGGAAACTCAAAAGTATTTCAGGAATGTAAAAGGTCATGGTAAGTATAAAAATTAAAATGCAGTTGGCTATGCATGTTTTTACCATAGATATGCTTTTTACGGTAAGGAAAACAGCTGCATATGCGCAAAACTTTAATTTTTATGTTATCATGCATGCAGTTTTAACTAAACAAAGAAATTTTGCTCAGAATGCCTACAGTAACAATATGTACATATATATGGTCGGTTATGTATTTGAGATATCCGGATACGACGATTCCCGTTCAATATATAGGCTAATTGATAATTTTAAATATATCTTTTGATAAATTCAGGAGGCTCACTAACCTCAGAAGATGTTATATCCAGTCATACTGTCCACTCCAAAATTGAATGTTCCTTGAAATGCCTTCAAAAATCAACATGTGTTGGTTACAACTACAGAAGCAAATCAAATAAAAACGCAGTAAATTGTCAACTCGGCAATAAACCCCAAGAAAGAGGTGGAAGTGGGGAATGGACGTTTTATCAAGATCTGGAAACTGTGAGTAGAAAAACAAAAATTGCACTACGTCTACAGATTGTCGACCCAGTAGCCTATATATATATAGGAAGCTGAGAAAACGTTGACAATTCAGTCAAACATTTCATGAGTAATATTATATTTCCTAGGAAAGCTTCCAGTTTAGATCCCTTGCTTCACTCCTCTTGTTTAATTCATATTTGCAAAAATGTTCGCTCGCCATCGTCCATGCACAGCCCGAGGTACGGGCATTAAAAGCGCCATGCAGGCGGAATGGCGCCGATGCAGAGCAGTTCAGCAAAATGTTAACGCGCTTTATTCATTGAATTCATTCATTCGTTCATTGACTGAATCGATTACACTGAATAGAAAACGCATACTGCATGTATATTTTTAAAATTACTATGGTAATTCAAATGGTACGTTACCCTAAAGTTGATGGAATTAATTGTGTATAATTTATTTTTGCTAGCTGACGACTGGAAATGTAAGAGCAAATGATATCTCAAGTAAGAAATTATACCATCCTGGCAAGTGTATATATATAATGTTATTGTATAATATTCGTGTAAGAACAATTTGGCTATGCACCCAATTGAGATAATATATTTTTTCTAATCGAGTTAACATGAGGTCCTAGTAACAATAAAATACTACTTGAATACGTTTTGTATGGAAGCCCATGCAGCAGGCTCACTTCAACTTTCATATAGCGTTTTGCTACCTCCTCCGCAGGCCTTTCAAAAAAATAAAATTGGTGCGAATCGAGCCTTTGTCTCAAATTTCAACCTGCGAACGGGCATACTCATTACGGGCTGTATGGCCTGCGGAGGAGGTAGCCGTATTTGCTCGTTTGAGCGCCGCGGCGCTCTTTAAATTTTCAGAGCTTCAGATGCGGCGCTCATTTGGGGGAGGCGCACAATCGGGGACGGCGCTCTTTAAAAAACTTTTATTTGTGAATTATAAAAAGAACTTTTAACAATAAAATCACAAGTTTTAAAAGGTTTTTGTCCGCTAAATGTCCCCATTTTGACGGCGGAAAGCTTTTACACTGTTTAGTGCGGCGCTCATTCGGGGGCGGCGCTCTTTAAAAAATTTTATCTCAAATGCGGCGCTCATTCGGTGGCGGCGCTCAATCGGGGGCGGCGCTCAATCGAGTAAATACGGCAACTTAGTATTTTTAAATATATGAACTCAGAATTTTCACCGGCATCGTAACTTAGTATATTTTTAAATATGAACTCAGAATTTTTATATGTCAACTTAGTATTTCTAATAAAATATCAACTTATACATATAAAGGTTTTAAACTTAATGACTGTTATAATTCTTTTAGATAATGCATCAAGTTGCAAGGAGTTGCATATATTGATGCCTCAGTTACCTAACGGATATTATAAATATAATAATCTGAAGGTAAGATTTCAGGAGCCGAGGTAAGATCCCACAGCTGTAATTGGTAGCTGAAGCTTATTTTGCAGGCGATCTTGAGCTCGGAGCTGGCTCGAGAGTTTATTTTGAAACCCTTGAAAATATTGAAATTGATTCAGTTCATTCGAATTGAAAGTGCATGCAGTTTTTTATCTTGTGTTTAACTGAGTCTGAGGCAACTGCATGATTCGTGATATATTCCGCTCCATTTGTTGTTGCGTGTTGCACATAACGTTAAGAATGGGAGGCGGTATATGATTGCTTTATTAGAATTATTGAATATTGATCGGCGAACCATCGGAATTTGAGTTATAAACTACATTTTAATATCAACAACGTGAACAGTAAAACCTTCTATGTAAAACAGCCATATGCGAAGAGATGGCGTGACCTGAAAGTTCAAAGTACTTTGTCATATACGATATGACGTCACATGCATGCGTTCAGTTCTATTTTTCGCATAACATTAACTTATATTATTAACACTCTCTCTCGAAAAATATGAACTGTAAATATATATATATATATATATATATATATATATATATATATATATATATATATATATATATATATATATATATATATATATATATATATATAGTGTTCGTTAAACGTTCAATAATAAACTAAACTCTAAAGATTGCTTCTAACTCCCATCAGTTCTCTAAAACGTTGAAACAATGTTTTCCCTAATGGTTTAGTTAACAAGTCCGCTAACATTTGTTCTGTAGGACAATAGTCTAGAACAACTTCCTTCTTTGCAACTTTGTCACGAATGAAATGGTGCTTTATATCAATATGCTTTGTTCTGGGATGATACTTTGGATTCTTTGACAAAGCTATTGCACCTTGATTATCCTCTTTGGTCATCGTTGGCTTGTTTTGAACAAAACTGATATCTTCGAGTAACACACGTAACCAAACTGCTTCCTGACACGCTAACGATGCAGCGACATACTCCGCTTCAGTTGAAGAAAGTGCGACAACACTTTGTTTCTTACTAGCCCAACTGATTACTCCTCCACACTGTGTAAACAAATATCCTGATTGCGATTTCCGTCCGTTTGGATTACTTCCCCAATCAGCATCAACATAACCATTCAACTGTACTTCAGTTTCTTTGTTTCCATCGAATGTAATTCCGTAATCAATTGTTCCTTTGATGTATCGTAAAATACGTTTAGCTGCTGTCCAGTGTTCAACTCCTGGGTTTGAACAAAATTGATTAACCAATCCTAACGCTTGAGCAAGGTCAGGTCTAGTACCAGTTACCGCATAAGTTAATCCCCCAATTAAGGCTTGATACTTGGTTTTCTCAACTGGTTCTCCTTCGTTAGGTAGTAATTTAGTGCCTTGATCAACAGGCGTTGCAGCTGGTTTGCATTCCTCCATTCCAAACTTCTTTAACAAGTTCGTGAGATACTGTTATTGATGTAATCTCATTCGTTTCTTGTTTCTATCTCGTTCTACTTGAATACCAAGGCAATAATGAACTTCACCGAGATCTTTCATTTCGAAACGCTTTCTCAATGCTTCTTTCTCTTTATGAAGCACTCTTTTACTATTACTAGCTGGTATCAAGTCATCGACGTACAAGGCTATGAACATGATATCATCTCCCTCTCGCTTAATGTACAGACAAGGATCCGAGCTTGATTGTACATAGCCGGAATTCTTTAAGAATTGATCGATCGTGTTGTACCAACACCTTGATGACTGCTTCAAGCCGTAGATACTCTTGTTTAATTTGCAAACTAAATCTTCCACACCTTCTTTCACGTATCCTTCTGGTTGCTTCATGTATATTTCTTCTTCCAATTCACCGTTCAAGAACGCCGTAGAAACGTCCATTTGATGTACTTCTAAATCTAACTGGTTAGCAATTGCCAATAGTGAACGAATAGATGTATACTTCGCTACAGGGGAAAAGGTTTCATCATAATCTAATCCAGGTTCTTGTGAGTATCCTTTCGCAACTAAACGAGCCTTGTGGCGCTCTACAGACCCATCCGCATTGTATTTAACTTTAAATACCCATCGACAATCAATAGCTTTACGACCCTCAGGCAGATTCCCTAATGTCCATGTATTGTTCTTAATATGAGCTGAATATTCATTGTCCAGAGCTTGTTTCCATTGTTCTTTATCTGAACAATTTAGAGCTTCCCTTATAGTTGTAGGCTCTTCTGGACTGAACTCACTATTAATACACGCAACATTATTTTGCCACCAATTGCCAGTAATTACTACACCATGTCTATCTGGTGGTTCTCTTATGCGCGTTGAACGTCGTGGTTGCTGTTCCACTTCGGTTTCTCTACTGATGCTCGGTTCTTCAGTACCTTCATCATGATCAACTGTGTCTTGATCTCCTGGAATAACATGCTCGGAAGATGGTTTGTTCTCTTGTGGTTCTTCTTGGTCTTCAGGGAGGGAATCATTTAAGTTTACAATTTGCATAAATTTCTTCTGTTGAATAAATTCATCTTCATCAAATAAAACATCCCTGGATATGTGTAATTTCCGAGTCTTAGGATCATAAAGTCTATATCCCTTACTTGAAATACTATATCCAACAAATATACATTTCTTGGTCTTCGAATCCCACTTCTTTCTGGTTTCTTTAGGAACATGCATGTACGCTTTGCATCCGAACACTTTAAAATTGGACACGTCCGGTTTCTTATCATTAAAGCATTCATATGGGGTCATATTGTCCACTGCTACTGTAGGACAACGATTTCTAACAATCACTGCTGTGCATACTGCTTCAGCCCAAAACTTTGTATCCAGTCCAGCATTATGTATCATAGATCGTGCAGTTTCCTGAATAGTTCTATTCATCCTTTCTGCCACTCCATTCTGCTGGGGAGTTCTAGGTACACTAAGTTGGTGCTGGATTCCCTTCTCTTTAAGGTAATTAACAAATTCTTTAGAGGTGTACTCACCGCCATTATCGGATCGAAGAATCTTGATTTTCTTTCCTGTGATATTAGTGACCATTGCTTCGTATTCTTTAAATTTATCAAGTACTTGATCCTTGGTTTTCATGAAATAAACTGCTGTGAATCTCGATTTATCATCAATAAAAGTCACAAAGTATTTATTACCACCGAGACTGTTCTCTTGCATTGGTCATAGGCGTACCGGGCGGGGGGGCGGGGGCGGTAGCCCCCCCAGTTTTTTGGGCAGTCGGGCAATATTCGATCAACAGTCGGGCAATTTTGATTTGAAATTAAAAAAAATGGGACAAATTCTGTCAATTTTGTCTAAAATCAAGTCAATTTTTCGAAAATTTGTGTTATGTTCCGAAAAATATTGGTTGTCTGGAAAAATGTTTTGACCCCCAAAATGGTACACTGACCGAAATTTTTTTGGCGACGGGGGGGGAAGGGGGGGGGTCGCCAAAATAATTTTTCCGGAAAAAATTTTTTGGTACTACTCGGGCAGATTCCCGGAAAGTTGGGCAATTTTCTTTCCGCCCCCTAATTTTTCCCTTCCGGTACGCCCATGGCATTGGTCCACAAACATCACTGTGAATAATTCCGAGAATTTCACTGGCTCGAGTTGCTTGTTCTTTAGGAAATGGTGCTCTCTTTTGTTTACCTTATGCACAACCCTCACAAAAGTCAGATTCTTTAGTAGATTGGAAGTCCAATCCAGTCACTAACTTCTGATCTCGCAACAATCGTAAATTCTTCATGCTCAAATGCCCATATCTCTGATGCCATAAATCCTCCAGATGCTCATTGGTAGCAGCATTAACATCATGACAGTCCACTTTCTTTTCACTGATATCAAGGACATATAGATTGTTTTGCATTTTACCAGATCCCCAAATAGTTCCACATTTGTCAAGAATAACACAGCCACTCTGTTGAAGCTCAACTGAATATCCTCGCTTAGCAACAACGCTTACCGAGAAGAGATTCTTTGCTAAATCTGGAACATATAGGACGTCAACCAATCTAGCCGGTTTATAATCATTTTCAGCTTTAATTTTAAGCCAGACTGTTCCTTTTCCCAAGGCTTCGACTACTCGTTTATCACCCAAACGAACTCTTTGTGGGTTTACAAAATGAACATAATCAACCATCATTTCCTTATCATATGACATGTGCTGTGAAGCACCCGAGTCAATGTACCATGTCGAATCCGTGCAATTCACATGTTTTGATGACCAAAATGATGCATGTTCTGTAGTTGCACTGTATGATGAACCGTCTTTCTTTCCTTTTACTTCACCCGATCTGCCCCTCTTTGGTTTACGGCATTCTCTTGCCCAATGTCCTGGTATTCCACAGTTATGACATTTACCCTTTCTCTTAGGTTTCGGGTTTCTTGGATTTACTTGATCATACTTTGTTGATAACAGAGCTTTCTCTCCACAATCAGAGGTTGGTATTGTCTCTTTTCGCTTGTGTTCCTCATGAAGTAACCTTGCAGTAACAAATTCCAAAGATAAATCATCAGCACGGGATTCTAAAGCTGTAATTAAACTATCATATGAATCAGGTAGACTACACAATAGCGTTGCAACTTGGTCCTCTTCTGTGATCAAGGCACCAACAGCTTCCAATTGACCTGCTAACTCTTTCATCTTGTTGATGTGTTCACTCATTGACTCATCAACCCCCATACTACCATAGACATAGTAAAATACTTTTTACGCAAGAATAATTTATTTGCCAAGGACTTCACTTCATAATGGCCTTCCAATTTTGACAATGCATCCTTTGCTGTTGTAGCTGAGCGAACCAAAGACAACTGTTCATCTCCCAAAGATAAACAAATCGTAGCGAACGCTTTTCTTTCCCGCCTTTGAAATTGCCGACGCTGAGTTTCAGTAGTTCCTTCGTCTGTAGGTTCTACCTCAATGCCTTTAACAATGCCCCAAAGATCCTTATCTTCAAGGACCATTTGCATTTTAAATTTCCAAAGGTGAAAGTTCTCTCCGCTAAACTTTTCGATACGTAACATCGATGCATGTTCGTCATTTCCCGAGACCGCCATTAATACAACTTTTCGTAAATACACAAGCCCAAAATGTGTTGATTTCGCGATATTTCTTCCATATTAAACTCCTTTAAATCCGAATTGCCGTTCCTGGGCCCATAACCTATTAGAATTATTGAATATTGATCGGCGAACCATCGGAATTTGAGTTATAAACTACATTTTAATATCAACAACGTGAACAGTAAAACCTTCTATGTAAAAACAGCCATATGCAAAGTGATGGCGTGACCTGAAAGTTCAAAGTACTTTGTCATACGATATGACGTCACATGCATGCGTTCAGTTCTATTTTTCGCATAACATTAACTTATATTATTAACAATAGTAAAGTATAGTAATTTTAGTGCAACATGTAGTGTAACATGATGTAACATGATGTAACATGTGAAGATTATGATTTGTTCTAACCTATAATCGTTGAAAATGTGCATAGAGAACTGAAAACCTTAAAAATAATTAATCCTAACATAATTTAAGACACAACTAACCGATAAACGAGCAGAAATATCTCTTAGTTTATTTAATCCAAAAGAACGCAAGAAATCAAGCAGTTATGTGTATTTTATGAAATTAAATTCGCTTATTTTCCGGAGCAAATACTAAGTAAAACATTTTGAAAAGGGTGTTAAACCTAGAGGATTCTAAGTTGAAGCTAAAATTAAATTTACTATACATTCAAAAGTATAAAAACATTTATAATCGTGTCCAAATTCAACGAAATTGCAAGGATAACCCGAGCTGTGGGCGGTAATATACGCCTATTTCCTATAATAGTACCATGGGAAGTCTCCCCCCCCCCGGAAAATTGTTTTGGGAGTTTGTTTCTATACTGACATATGTGCCACTTGACTTCCATAACAACATGATAGAATAGCAAATTTTACATGTCCAAAAAATTTAATTTCTATCCCTTAAAGGTTAAGGGTTTGGCTTAATTCAGAGACAGTCTGAAAAAATACAACGGATAATCATTTTACCAAGTTAATTGTTCAGTCGTTTTCAAAACATAATTTTCAAATTAAAAAGGACTCTATATTAGGAACATAATTCAGGGTTTGATTAAACTTTTTGAAAGCCAGGGGGGTCGGTAGACGGGGGGCGGCTTAATGTAGGCGCCCATGTTTTGAGGAAAATTGTGATTAATTTATCCAATAAGGCTGCATTGACAAAAAATATGGCAGTTAATAACAAAAAACTATCAGAGGGACAGATATGGCATATAAGATTGTTACATTGTACAATATTTCATGACCGTCACATTTTTTCACATATTTTGTATATCAGTAAAATTTTATAGTGCGAAATTGTACCTATAAAGTATGTTTTAATACGGTTTCAATATGCTTTTATAACGCATGTACCCGTAATTGTCTCAAAATTAGTGCTTGTCTTAACGAATATCTTATTATTATTTAATAAATGTACAGTCTGAGTAAAATCACTACATGTTACACCATGTTACACCACATGTTACAGTACATGTTACACTAAAAGTTCTATATTTTATTATATATCCTCACATGTTACAACATGTTACACCTACCTTTAAAAATATCTATAGTTCCTTTTAAAAATATAGGTGTAACATGTAGTAACATGTCAAGAACTATAGTAAAGTATAGTAATTTTAGTGTAACATGTAGTGTAACATGATGTAACATGATGTAACATGTGAAGATTGAGATTTGTTCTAACCTATAATCGTTGAAAATGTGCATAGAGAACTGAAAACCTTAAAAATAAATTAATCCTAACATAATTTAAGACACAACCAACCGATAAACGAGCAGAAATATCTCTTAGTTTATTTAATCCAAAAGAACGCAAGAAATCAAGCAGTTATGTGTATTTTATGAAATTAAATTCGCTTATTTTCCGGAGCAAATACTAAGTAAAACATTTTGAAAAGGGTGTTAAACCTAGAGGATTCTAAGTTGAAGCTAATATTAAATTTACTATACATTCAAAAGTATAAAAACATTTATAATCGTGTCCAAATTCAACGAAATTGCAAGGATAACCCGAGCTGTGGGCGGTAATATACGCCTATTTCCTATAATCGTACCATGGGAAGTTCCCCCCCCCTGGAAAATTGTTTTGGGAGTCTGTTTCTACTGACATATGTGCCACTTGACTTTCATAACAACATAATAGAATAGCAAATTTTATATGTCCAAAAAATTTAATTTCTATCCCTTAAAGGTTAAGGGTTTGGCTTAATTCAGAGACAATCCTGGAAAAAAATTAGTAGACTTCTTAAATTTTCAAACTTTGTCCCCCTCCCCCCTTATACAATGTTGGTATTTAGGTGACATGTTTTGCAAATCCACTTTACCTGAACCAACATTGTTTCGGGGGGAAGGAGAATGGTAATTTAAAGTAAATAGTTGCTTTAATTGAAAAATGGTCACATTTTCATCATATGTTTTCAAATTTGGGTGTATTTTTCGAAAAGTCTACAAATATTTTTTCCAAGATTGTCTGAAAAATACAACGGATAATCATTTTACCAAGTTAATTGTTCAGTCGTTTTCAAAACATAATTTTCAAATTAAAAAGGACTCTATATTAGGAACATAATTCAGGGTTTGATTAAAATTTTTGAAAGCCAGGGGGGTCGGTAGACGGGGGGCGGCTTAATGTAGGCGCCCATGTTTTAAGGAAAATTGTGATTAATTTATCCAATAAGGCTGCATTGACAAAAAATATGGCAGTTAATAACAAAAAACTATCAGAGGGACAGATATGGCATATATAGATTGTTACATTGTACAATATTTCATGACCGTCACATTTTTTCACATATTTTGTATATCATTAAAATTTTATAGTGCGAAATTGTACCTATAAAGTATGTTTTAATACGGTTTCAATATGCTTTTATAACGCATGTACCCGTAATTGTCTCAAAATTAGTGCTTGTCTTAACGAATATCTTATTATTATTTAATAAATGTACAGTCTGAGTAAAATCACTACATGTTACACCATGTTACACCACATGTTACAGTACATGTTACACTAAAAGTTCTATATTTTATTATATATCCTCACATGTTACAACATGTTACACCTACCTTTAAAAATATCTATAGTTCCTTTTAAAAATATAGGTGTACCATGTAGTAACATGTCAAGAACTATAGTAAAGTATAGTAATTTTAGTGTAACATGTAGTGTAACATGATGTAACATGATGTAACATGTGAAGATTGAGATTTGTTCTAACCTATAATCGTTGAAAATGTGCATAGAGAACTGAAAACCTTAAAAATAAATTAATCCTAACATAATTTAAGACATAACCAACCGATAAACGAGCAGAAGTATCTCTTAGTTTATTTAATCCAAAAGAACTCAAGAAATCAAGCAATTATGTGTATTTTATGAAATTAAATTCGCTTATTTTCCGGAGCAAATACTAAGTAAAACATTTTGAAAAGGGTGTTAAACCTAGAGGATTCTAAGTTGAAGCTAATATTAAATTTACTATACATTCAAAAGTATAAAAACATTTATAATCGTGTCCAAATTCAACGAAATTGCAAGGACAACCCGAGCTGTGGGCGGTAATATACGCCTATTTCCTATAATCGTACCATGGGAAGTCTCCCCCCCCTCCCGGAAAATTGTTTTGGGAGTCTGTTTCTACTGACATATGTGCCACTTGACTTTCATAACAACATAATAGAATAGCAAATTTTACATGTCCAAAAAATTTAATTTCTATCCCTTAAAGGTTAAGGGTTTGGCTTAAATCAGAGACAATCCTGGAAAAAAATTAGTAGACTTCTTAAATTTTCAAACTTTGTCCCCCTCCCCCCTTATACAATGTTGGTATTTAGGTGACATGTTTTGCAAATCCACTTTACCTGAACCAACATTGTTTCGGGGGGAAGGAGAATGGTAATTTAAAGTAAATAGTTGCTTTAATTGAAAAATGGTCACATTTTCATCATATGTTTTCAAATTTGGGTGTATTTTTCGAAAAGTCTACAAATATTTTTTCCAAGATTGTCTGAAAAATACAACGGATAATCATTTTACCAAGTTAATTGTTCAGTCGTTTTCAAAACATAATTTTCAAATTAAAAAGGACTCTATATTAGGAACATAATTCAGGGTTTGATTAAAATTTTTGAAAGCCAGGGGGGTCGGTAGACGGGGGGCGGCTTAATGTAGGCGCCCATGTTTTAAGGAAAATTGTGATTAATTTATCCAATAAGGCTGCATTGACAAAAAATATGGCAGTTAATAACAAAAAACTATCAGAGGGACAGATATGGCATATATAGATTATTACATTGTACAATATTTCATGACCGTCACATTTTTTCACATATTTTGTATATCATTAAAATTTTATAGTGCGAAATTGTACCTATAAAGTATGTTTTAATACGGTTTCAATATGCTTTTATAACGCATGTACCCGTAATTGTCTCAAAATTAGTGCTTGTCTTAACGAATATCTTATTATTATTTAATAAATGTACAGTCTGAGTAAAATCACTACATGTTACACCATGTTACACCACATGTTACAGTACATGTTACACTAAAAGTTCTATATTTTATTATATATCCTGACATGTTACAACATGTTACACCTACCTTTAAAAGTATCTATAGTTCCTTTTAAAAATGTAGGTGTAACATGTAGTAACATGTCAAGAACTATAGTAAAGTATAGTAATTTTAGTGTAACATGTAGTGTAACATGATGTAACATGATGTAACATGTGAAGATTGAGATTTGTTCTAACCTATAATCGTTGAAAATGTGCATAGAGAACTGAAAACCTTCAAAATAAATTAATCCTAACATAATTTAAGACACAACCAACCGATAAACGAGCAGAAATATCTCTTAGTTTATTTAATCCAAAAGAACTCAAGAAATCAAGCAGTTATGTGTATTTTATGAAATTAAATTCGCTTATTTTCCGGAGCAAATACTAAGTAAAACATTTTGAAAAGGGTGTTAAACCTAGAGGATTCTAAGTTGAAGCTAATATTAAATTTACTATACATTCAAAAGTATAAAAACATTTATAATCGTGTCCAAATTCAACGAAATTGCAAGGATAACCCGAGCTGTGGGCGGTAATATACGCCTATTTCCTATAATCGTACCATGGGAAGTCTCCCCCCCCCCGGAAAATTGTTTTGGGAGTCTGTTTCTACTGACATATGTGCCACTTGACTTTCATAACAACATAATAGAATAGAAAATTTTATATGTCCAAAAAATTTAATTTCTATCCCTTAAAGGTTAAGGGTTTGGCTTAATTCAGAGACAATCCTGGAAAAAAATTAGTAGACTTCTTAAATTTTCAAACTTTGTCCCCCTCCCCCCTTATACAATGTTGGTATTTAGGTGACATGTGTTGCAAATCCACTTTACCTGAACCAACATTGTTTCGGGGGGGGGGATGGTAATTTAAAGTAAATAGTTGCTTTAATTGAAAAATGCTCACATTTTGATCATATGTTTTCAAATTTGGGTGTAATTTTCGAAAAGTCTACAAATATTTTTTCCAAGATTGTAGATAATACATGCACGCAGTAACCTCTCGCCCAAAATTTTCCAAACATTAACTTAACATGAAGTATTCAGTAATTTTTTTATATTTTTTGTACAAAATTTCAAAATAGTTGATAGATTCGTACTTTTAACTATACAACAATACATCTCCGAAATATATACTCTAGGTATGTTATTTTACATTTTGTTAGCTTTGGTTTAATGTAAAATTTAATTTGAAACGCTTCGTAAAATGTTTTGAAATGTTCATTCAACTAAACTAGATTTGCCGATAAACTGTTTTTACTTAATAAAACATAATAAGTTTAATACAAATACAACAAATTGTTAGGTAATTTCAGTTCAGTCTTCAAATCGATTTGTTCTCCTTTACAATTTAAGATTTTTTTTCAAATTAAACGGTAATTTATGACATTTAGAGCTTCGTTGAAAAGGAAAACAGTTCATGTTTTTAGGCAAAAAGTTAAAGCAACAAGATTCATATTAAACATTAAATATTCAAAGCAAACTTGCCGTATAATTCGCTATTTCCCATAGTAAACCAATTCTTCTCATTTCATCAAACAAATTTGCTTCAAGCTTATTGTATATGAAACGATTTTCCAAATATATGTCTTTTAAAATTAAAATCTTGCTTATCCACTCCTATAAGCAATCAGCCATAGTTTCGAGATCAGTGAGGGTGACCACCCACTCAACACCGTTGGTGAGCCACGCCCGCGGTCATTGACGAACTTTAGACTTCGCTAATGCTTTCGTTTCCCCGGAGGGAATTAGTACCTTCGCCCCGGGCTTACGCCCGGAACGGCGCTCCGCGCAGTTGGCTCGGGGACCAAAACTAAGGCAGTCAAAGGCTTATTAAAAAATGTAAGATTTTATACTATGCCCTTTAATCGAGTAATACGAAAATCGCAACATCGTATTCTATATTAAGAACAGGGAAAATAAAATAATTTTAAAATATATACTAAAACTAAGGCAATTGAAGCTTAATAACAAAATGTAAAAATTTATGTTATTCCCTTTAAATGAGTAATGCAACTTTCATGCACTATATAATTTCTATAAGCTGTCCAAGCAACAGGATCATTTGTTTGTTTTACTAATTTCTGCCTCCTGTCTCAGATTTTCACTAACGCATGAATATTTTCAATCACGAGGTTAACCTCGATCAACATGCATGCACCAATTAAAACGATCAAAGTTGACATTCGTCCAATTCTATTCATGAATGATAATATTCGTGCGTTAATGAAAACCCGAGACAAGTGGCAGAAATTAGCGAAACAAACAAATGATCCTGTTGCTTGGTCATGCAGCTTATAGAAATTATAAACATGAAGTAAAACTTCGACTCGCCCAGAAAGCGTATTTAGAGGATCAAATACAACAGAACCCCAACGACGTCAACACAGCATGGAAGACGATCAGATCATGTATGCCCAAAAAGATCGGTAAGCACAGAGAATTATTACTTCCTTACCTGAAAATAAAGACCCTGGTATTAAATTCCTACCAAAGTTATTGGAGAAAAGTTAACCAAAAGTTAAACTAGTTCGTTAAGGTGGCTCGCTACAGTTTATAGAAATGTTGAAAATGCGTAAACTAGTTCACCTTTTTGAAGAGATGATGCTCTTTACAAATCGAAATTTGTATATTATATATACAGCGACAATCAAATAGTCGAAAATTGCTCAGAAAAGTGACGTCACCACTGTTGCTATGGCAACAATGACGATTCAAGATGGCCGATATTTTCGCTTTGAACGCATTTTACTTTAAAAAAAGGTCGGTTACCCCCATTTTTTATTTCAGAAAACATTTTCTTATAGTACAATACACTATCTGACCAATTTTAAAAAAATTCTGTAATGCCAAATTTTTTAAAAATTTATAAACATTGTTTTTCGAAATAATTTTTTTTTTGCATTACAGAATTTTTTTAAAATTGGTCAGATAGTACATTGCACTATAAGAAAATGTTTTCTGAAATAAGAAATTGGAGTAACCGACTTTTTTGTAAAGTAAAATACGTTCAAAGCCAAAATATCGGCCATCTTGAATCGTCATTGTTGCCATAGCAACAATGGTGACGTCACTTTTCAGACCAATTTTCGACTGTTTGATTGTCGCTGTATATATAATATACAAATTTCGATTTGTAAAGAGCATCATCTCTTCAAAAAGGTGATCTAGTTTACGCATTTTCAACATTTCTATAAACTGTAGCGAGCCACCTTAAGTTAATTTTTAACTAAAGTTAAAAAGTTTTTACATTTTTTTTTATCTTTTTTAGTTTTTACCTAAAGTTTTTTTTGACTCAGCACCTGTTATTGTTCCAATAGTGACCAACATCATAAACACATCCTTCAAGACATGTGTCTTTCCAAGTGATTGGAAATTTGCTGAAATTTTTCCAATTCTAAAAGAAGGAGACTACGAGCAGGCCAGTAACAACAGGCAAATATCCCTAGCTTTTGCCTCTTTTGTCGAAAGTGTGCGAGAAGGTTTCCTTAAACCAATTAACACCTTATTTAACATCAAAACAAAGACTGGCAACAAACCAAAGTGGAGATAGAAAATAGCACTCTAAGGAGACGTCATTATTATCGTCCACGCATGCAATCTTAAAAGTGATAGATCAGGGAAAGATTACTCTATCAAGACATGTGTCTTTCCAAGTGATTGGAAATTTGCTGAAATTTTTCCAATTCTAAAAGAAGGAGACTACGAGCAGGCCAGTAACAACAGGCAAATTTCCCTAGCTTTTGCCTCTTTTGTCGAAAGTGTGCGAGAAGGTTTCCTTAAACCAATTAACACCTTATTTAACATCAAAACAAAGACTGGCAACAAACCAAAGTGGAGATAGAAAATAGCACTCTAAGGAGACGTCATTATTATCGTCCACGCATGCAATCTTAAAAGTGATAGATCAGAGAAAGATTACTGTATCTAGACATGAGTAAGGCTTTCGATAGTGTCAACCACGAGATTTTATTAAATAAACTAAAGGCCATTGGCCTTTCTCCATCAGCCGTATCATGGTTTCGAAGCTACCTCTCGCACAGATTTCATGCAGTACGAATAAACTCAACCCTATCAGACGCACTTTCAGTTGCTTAAGGCAGCGTCCTCGGCGCTCTACTATTTAATAATTTTGTGAACGATCTGCCAACATTTATGAAGTCGTGTAAAAGTGAATGTTATGTAGATGATTCCAAGCTACTTCTATACCTTGCAGTATCTGGCCTTGAAAAAGCAAAAGATCTGATCCTCTCTGAATTAGAGAGAGTACGTAACTGGTGCTTTGATAATGTCTTACTACAAAATCCAGATAAAATAAAGCTGATGGTGTTTGGAAGTCGCCAAATGCTCACCAAAATGCCTGGTTTCCGCCTTCCCTTTTTGGGTAAAGAACTTGTACCATGTCAAACGTAACAATTAAAGACCTTGGCGTAAAATTTCACTCTATCTTATCTTTTGATACACGTATAACATCAAATGTATCATCTTGCATGTCAAAAGTGGGTCAGATCAACCGAGTAAAAAATGCCTTCAATTCCAACCTTTTTAACCACCATTATTCATATGCTTGTATTTAGCAAGCTATGTTACTGCTCCTCTGTTTGGTCAACTACCTCTGCTGGAAATATAGCCCGGTTGCAGCATGTGCAAAATTTTGAAGCCCACATCATCAGTGGTACCAGGAAGTTTGATCGTATAACACCTGCATTGAAATCCTTAAGGTGGCTCCCCATCAAAACACAACTATATCTGAGGGATGCAATTCATGCATTCAAATGTATGACTGACCGAGCACCTGGCTACTTGACAACGCAGTTAACTACAAGACAGGAAATTCCTGGCGGTGTGACCCGCAACTCCCAGCGATTAAACATTCCTCGTTTTAAAACTGCGACTGGACAGATATCTTTTTCATACAGAATAATTTCCATATGGAATTCAGTAGATAGTAATCTTAAATTATGTAATGACATTTCCAGCTTTTAAGAGAAATCTTAAGAAGAATCTTTTAGGACAAACTCTAGAATCATGATATTTTGGATACGCATAGCATGTACATAGGATATTCTATAGCTTACAGTAGTTGATAAATTAGTTCTTTGTACATATATATATATATATATATATATATATATATATATATATATATATATATATATATATATATATATATATATATATATATATATATACCGGGTGGCCCAAAAAAAAGTACTCCTGTTTGATTTATAATAACTTCTAAACAAGTAAAGCTATCAAACCGAAATAACTTGCATTAAATAGAGGAAGGACTAACTTAGATTTTGATATGTTACAGTTGTATTTTACTTAAAAATTCACGGAGATATTAATGTTCAAAATCGGGAGCATATTTTGGGATGTGTCTAAAATTAGCGAAAATCGGCGTATCAAATTTTCACTCCAGCGTTTGTTTGCTTAATGACATATCAGGGTAAATTGTATTTCAGCGAATTGTCGTTAGGGTTTGTAAGGGATATGGCGTAGATTTAGACATCTTACATGCAAGTCTTAACTTATTGTTTCCTGAAATATGAACGTTCGAAATTATGTAAGTATTTAATAGGTCTTTGCAAACTTAAGGTACTGAAAGACCATGCAAGGCAGGCGCTTCAATTTTTCTTAAATAACCTATTTTTTATGTTTTTCATGGGTTCAAAACAAAGTTGATTATTTCTCGGTTAGAGCAGGATTAATAGATATAATAATACTTTGTTTCATAATAAACAATTTGTCAAGTGTCATTTATTTACTGGTAATAGTGCATGTTTCAGTCGGGCAAATCTTGATTAATATTTGATACGCCGATTTTTTGCATATTTCAGACACATCCAGAAATATCCTCCCGAATTTAAAGATTAATATCTCCGTGAATTTTTAAGTGAAATACAACTGTAATATATCAAAGTCTAAGTTAGTCCTTCCTCTATTTGATGCAAGTTATTTCTCTTTAAAAGCTATACTTGTTTAGATGTTATTACGAATCAAACAGGAGTACTTTTTTTTGGGCCACCCGATATATATATATATATATATATATATATATATATATATATATATATATATATATATATATATATATATATATATATATATATTATGTATGATCACTGAAAATACCATGATTGGGAGGGTCCATTAAATTTCAAGTTTCAAATTTCAAATCAAACTATATCCTGTATTTAGACGACAAAAAAGAAAGATATAAAAGAGTTAAAACTAAGGCAATCAAAGCTTTATTACAAAATATAAGTCTTTATATTATGCTCTTTGATTGAGTAATAAGACAATCAATATATACTTTGTCCTGTATTAAGATGAGAAAAGAAAAGAAAAGAAATGTAAAATATACGGAAGCCAAGATGCGACACCTAAGGACGTTTTTTCGGTTCATGATTCTAAGGTATTAGATTTCTTGGTTCTTTATTTTTACAATGGGTTCATGATTTTCAGATTTTATACTATTCAAAAACTGTAAAGAACTAGAGTCGCGATATTAAAATGCTCTACTCTCTCAGTATTATAAATAATATTGATACTGCAGTGGTTTTCATCGTTATAAAATTGACATTTAGTTTAATAACTGAATAGAATACATTTTGAATACGAATATATTACAGAATACTGACATAGACGACTGGTATTACACATTCTTTTAGGTGTGTAGTGTGTCTCCGACAGCAAATTATTGTGCATATGAAATAAATAGCAAATGTATATTTGTTTTCATATACCCGCGTTAACATTAAGGTTCGGTCACACGGAGCGACAAGTTGCAGGGGCATGTTGCAGGGACATGTCGCCCGAAACGAGTCACACGAAGCGACAATGCTAGGCGAAAACAAGTCGCACAAGCGCTTACAGGCGCGTGGTCACACGAGGCGACAATTCATGCGACAAATCAAAGAACTCCCATGAGGACTTATATTGAAATTGAGCGTGCAAGTAGTCATGGGAATGATATTTTGTGATTGGTCGGACTAATTATTTCCCCGCGACTTGTGAACAGACTAGCTCACACGATGCAACAAGTCGCGGCAACGGTTTTTTCCCCGCGACAAGTCGCATGAAATCAAATCAATTTGATTTCATGCGACATGTCGCGGGGACAGTTTTTTGTCCCCGCGACAACGCTTACACATGAGACACACGATGAAATTCGACCCCGCGGCATGTCTCTGCAACATGCCCCTGCGACTTGTCGCTCCGTGTGACCGAACCTTTAAAGCCTCGACTTGAGATCGTATTTTCAAGCCTTGTAGCTCTTAATTTCGGACATATTGAAAGGCAACACATAATTAATTACATGCAGTAGGCAGTTTTCGGATATGACATGTCTAACGCTAGTTTTTAATAATCTCGTAAATATTAGTATCTGGTTAGGAACAAGTCGAACCTAAATTATTTCTAATTGTGTTCGAAATAACGGGCACATGAGGGGGTGGTGCGCAGAGGCGGACTTAATTAAAACGCTAGTGACGACCATAATATAGAAAAGTGCATGTCACAGCAAAGTGCGGGGCCTATAGAAAAGCTTGGGGCACTAGAAATGAAGGGTGGGGTGACAATAAGGGTAACAACAGAAAAGTTTGGTGCACTAGAACAGCGTCGATCCCTAGGGTGGCTGTGTGAACAAAGTGTGTGATACGAAATTCCCAAAGTACAGAAACAGTGCGGAGCACTAAACAGCGGGGCCCAAAGGTAAGTGCTTGACAATAGAAAAGTCCATTGCTTGGTGCCCAATTTATGTTCTGGGGAGATTGATCTATACGATGGCTAACATGGTGTTGCAAGATATTCGACAACGAAAAAAAAACAACGAAAAATCAAAAACCCGAAATAAAAAAATAAAAAACCCAAAGTATAAACTTAAAAAGTAAAAAACAAAAAGTCGAAATAAAACACTAAATCAAAAACTCAAAAATTGAAAACCAAAAATCAAAAACCGTAAATTCAAAAACCATTGATTTTTTCATATGCATTTAATACTGTTCCAAGCAAGCGTGTTTATGCCGCCAGATATCCATCATCCTAGAATCTGTGGAAGGAAAATTTTACTTTTTGAAAATGTAATCATTACTTTATACACAATATTGCTAGAACAATTGACCTTGAGACTTGCTTCCTAAACTTAGTCAAATCTCGTTCACCTATAAGGGACTATATACTAACTGTGGGTGTAATCAAGAATTTTTATTTAAATAAATACAAAGCCTGTTCATATTGGATGTTAATCAGAGACAAGCTCTTCCCAGACTTAATGTACCCTGTAGTCTCAAGGCCGGCGAGAGAGGGGGGGGGGGGGGGGCAAAATAGCCGGGGCCCGGAGTGTTCAGAGGGGCCCGGAAATCTCGGTAAAATGTTCGTATTGTTTATCATCGCTTTATGTTTGTCCTAAATGAAATACGCCTACTTGTACACTATCCGCTGATCGTTGTTATCGATCGTAAAACATGCCAAATCGTTTTCTCAGCAAAAACAGTTAGCTGAACATCGTTCACATTACGTTTTTATCAGTTATGCGGCGATTTCTTG